GTCTACAAGGGCGCGTTGCACTTCAAGGAAGGATGTACGAGAATGCGGCACCAAAGGCGGAGTATCGCACATTACGATGGCTCGACACTTGCTTCACTTCCTTTTCAAGGCCTCTCCGCAACAGCGGATGGAGGGAATTACACTTCAGAAGCGACTGGAAATCTACCAAGCGTTCGCTGATTGCCCTCGCGAAATTAAGAAATTTGAGGAGATTGCTTTCGTGATAGACGAGATCAGACCACCTATAATGATGTTATTATCTTAATTCTGCTTGTTGTGTTAGGACTGACGGAAATGCAGAAGTCCAAAGAATGCGTCTAATTAACGCCGTTAGTAGAAATAATAGTTCGAAATATATTGATGCTATCTATCGCATAATCACGGGAATTCAAGATGCTGGCAACAATGGGAAATCAGCTGATTAAACATTTAATGTATGCAATTTCTAATACAACCTTCCAGTAAATTGGCTTCATGTTATGAAAACACTTCCACCTGCAAAGAGGGTTTAATTAATAATAGGGAAATAACAAAAGAATAGGTTCCCTACAATGATTTCAGTGGATGGAAAGTAGATAGTATAAGGAATTGTACATAAATTACGAAACGATTAAGAGAGGACAGTAGGAAATAGAAACACTCTTTCATCAGTGGTGTATTGATTATGTTAGATTGCGAAAAAAATAAATTACAATATAACAGATCCACATTCCAAAATCTAATTAAATTGGGGTAGTTGATTCTCGCCTATGCATACACGATGGCGTGGGCGTAGCATTTTGTAAAAGTGTCCCCAATCTTATTTTTATGCGAAGTATACATAGCCAGCTAATAATGACTGTCACACATTTTAATACAATAAACTGCAAATAAAATGAATACAAACTGTTTTACTGATTTATTTTACCCTATTGTAAATGGAGGTGGTGTCGCAAAATTACATAATTGTGTAAGGAGGTTCTAGAGTGCGTTATATGTGCGTTACTGGGGGCAGAGGGGGTGTCCAAATATTGCAAATTTGTGTTTCGTAATTTATGAGGGACGCAGGGTGGGGAGGAGCGAGGGAGGGAAGGATGGGGAGTGGTGGAGGAGTGGCGGGGCAGAGGAGGGCAGGGCAGAAAGTAGAGAGCGGCGAAGGAGGGTGTGTGGTAGCGGGGCAGGGTGGTGGGCCTAAGGGACAGGGTGTGAGGGCGGAGCGGGGGCGGGGCGGGGCAGATGGAGCATCGGCGGAGAGGGTGTTTGTGGAAGGAGAAGCAGGGCCAGGAAACGAAAGGGGCGGAGGCGGCAGCAGGGTGACGGTAGCAGAAGAAGGGCGGCAGAGATCACGATTGGGCGGGAGGGTAGTGGTTAGGTGCATCGCGGGGCAGGACAGAGAGTGGGGGCAGTTAGAGTGCGCAGCTACAGAGTCAGAGGGCGGGGCAGGTTTGCGGAATAATGGGGCAGAGCAGGGCAGAGCGCGGAGGCAAGGGCAGGGCAAGGCGAGGGTTGCGGCGCAGGGTCGGAGGTAAGGTTGTTGCTGAGGGCAGGAATAGGGGCAGAGGGCGGAGGTGCGAGGGGCAGTGGGCAGTGGTTGCACGGAAAGGCACAGGCAGGGCAGGGCAGGGCATGAGGAGCAGAGGGTGGAGGTAGGGCGGGAGGGCAGGGTAGGTCGAGGTCAGAGAGTGGGGCAGGCAGAGTGCGGCGGGCGAGGCTGGGGCAGAGAGCGGAGAGCGGGGCCGAGGGCCATGAAAGGAGGGCGCGGGCGGCGCTTGGGCCCCGTGGGCGCGTCAACAAGGCCCCGCGTCGCGGTCTGGGGGACTTTCGCCGGGCGGAGGCAGCAACGCGCCTCGCCTTGCACGCGCGAGCGACAAGCCTCCGAGGTCGTGAGGAAGGGGCGGCTGTTCGCCCACAATGGAGACGGTGGAAACACAGGAGACGACTTTGGGGGGCACGGCCGCATCTAGAATGTTTATTATTGAGATCACACGCCGGTTTCCTAGGCGGAAAATGGTAGAGATTTGGAGTTCCATAGCCCACTTTTCAACATTGTTATTTTCGGGTCTCTCCGTTAAGGCGTAACGAGTGTGGCGTGTCGATGACGATATGAACCATGGAAGAAATACTGTGTTTTCTCAATGAAAAATGATGAGGTGAAAAAGAGAAAGATGAGTAAATAGTGAAATAAGGCGTAAAGGGAAACGAGAGTGCCCCGAGAAAACCGGTCGCGAACCCGCGTCGTCCACAAAATAATGCTCGATCACCGATTGGAGCCATGACACCCGGAGATGAATAGTTACTACGCTGATCACTGTCAGATGTTGACTTATCGTTTTGATCTCTTTTCTGTCGCTTCCAATGAAATTAAAGAAGAATATATGAATATTTTTCAGGAACATACCATGAAACCCATCAAGATGGAAACGTCGATTAAGCAGCCGCTATATTTTTTTTTTGTGATCAGAGTGATATAGCGCGGTTTCGTTTTAGTCCGGAAGGAGAAAATGATGTCTATTTGGTTTTCATTAGTTCAGAAATAATTCATTTTTTTGGTGTGAATTAGTCTTTATACCATTAAATTTTCCCAATTCCTATTTGGTGTTTCCCTATTAGTCGTACTTTATGGTCTCCCTCTCGAAACCTATTATGCGTTGGAGAAGAAATTTCCGGAAAATTCCAGGATTCGAGTGGAAAGAATATTGAAATATACAGGCTTTATAATAGGTTAACGGTCATTGTCCCACACCCATACTACTGATGTATTTTAAAATTATAAAAATTGCCCTAATCAATAAATTAAAATGATATTTTTTCACGTGAAATTGAAGGTCGTTAATTTTGCCATATCCTCGGGGCAGCCGATCGTTTGGAATAGACAAATGGTATAATCCTGTGTTTTTCAGACGAAAAAATGTTACTGGTGGAGATGAAGTTGTGTTATTTATGGAGATAATGTTGTGTTCATGACATTTAAAGATGTTGAGGATTTGATCGGTTTCGTGGGTGGTTGGCATAACAATCTACTTCGTTCTCTATACATTGATTTGTACTAGAATTGTTCTTCATGTGTTAGGGATAAGTGATTTATAAGTAATTGATGTTTCCGGGAACGTCAACTGTTATGGTCGTTGGATCCTTTGGTGTAGTGAATGTTTTATTCCGGGAGGTGAAGGTGTTCCTTCCCCGCTGTATTTTAAGATCGCGCGTAGGTGTTTAATCCGAAGCACAGGCAGGGCAAGCGAAGTTATTTAGTTAAAGATATGGAGTCATTTTAAAGAATCGAATAATTTAGAGTACTCGTGGAGTATTGGGAAACTTGGTCCGTTGTTAGAATATACCACGATAGAAGGGACACCGTGAACATCCCACGAATGGCATCAAGCCTGAAGACATCCAAGAAGACATCCGAGAAGTCATCACAGCCCGCCTACGAACTGTTACATTCTGTCCCGAACTTCAAATCCGTACGTGACTTTAATGATTGTGAAGAGAAAAAGTTGATTACTTCATTAATGACTATCAATATGATTTTGTGATAATGTCAGAATAAATGTTCAATTTCATTATTGAGAAAAGAGAAGGCTGATAATTTATAGTAGGTGTCATCAATTCAACAACAGGTTACAACAAACCGAACTTCCAGCAATCACAACTCTGTACAGAACTGCACGTTCACAGGTAACGTATTATATATCGAAATCCACGAGTACAAGTCAAAGTGAAATTAAAATAATCATGGTTAAATATTGTAAAGGCTAAGCAGGGCAGGGAAAAATAAAATAAAATTAGTTATAGCAGTAATAAACGCGATATTAGTCTGGCAACGAAGATAATTAATTATTAAAAATAGAAGGTAATTTACAAATAGCTTGCCCAGTGTGGCGACAGATGCCAGTGGGCCAGATGTATATGAAATAATTGAAGATTAAATTACATAGATGTGGGTTATTCACATAATTAGTATTAGTTGAGAAAATATTCTTGAATAAACAGTACTTTACGTATTCCTAGTGTTATTGTACAGTACCAATCATTATTTATTACTTTTGTTATGTAACGGTAGACATTAACCACTCCCAATAATTTTAGTATTAGCTCCTATGGACGAAATAGTCATTAGTAGGGATAGAATTTTGATGACGTAGAACATTGTAAAATGCTCTTGAAATGCCTTAAAGGCAAAGAAAAATGACAAAATATTTTATCAAAACCATTTCAAATGACCAACTCAAGCAATTACTGACGTAATCAAGGGTTCTTGCTTACATTCAAGTGAACTCAGCTTGCAAAGTTTTGATTTGAACTGTTCTTTACCAAGAAATCTCTCTCTTTAGTTATCCCCAAATCGGCCGAACCGACAAATGGGCGTCACAGGAATCTTTACACAAAGGATTACACACTCACACACACACTCATAACATTACAATTTCTTCGCTCAGAAATCGAATAGGCTAGGCTACTTAGGAATTCGGTGGAGAACATTTGATGCGTCTCGTAAATATTGAAGCAAGTACCATTATAATGATATTAAAATCGATAAAAACAGCGAAAATGCTTTAAAAATGACGGAAACAGTAAATAAAAATGACTTATTGGTCGAAATCAACGAAGAACGCAACAAAAAAAAAATGTAAAAACGGGCCATTTCCTTTTGTCGTAAATTAAATTTAATGTCTCTACTAAAATTCAGTTCTAAAGGTAAAACTAAAAATTATACTTCATTAAAATCCGCCCCCTAGTCATTATTTTGCACAGAGTCTGCAGAACCGCGATACACGTCCTTTAAGCGGGCACACGTCAACGCCTAGTGCAACTGCGGGCGGTTTGTGGCTGACGCCAAGCTTGCAGCGGCGGAGCGGTGGCGGGCCGGGGGCGAGGGCGAGGCGTGTCTCGTGTGTGGCGCGGGGTGGGGGCCGAGGCGACGGCGAGCTGTGCGCGGGCGGGGGGCGTCGGCCGGGGCGTCCCCGGCGCGTCGAGGGCCTCCTTTATAAGCGCGCGCGCCGCCGCGGCCGTCACTCGCCGCCATGCAGCTTCCCGCCGCCCTCGCGCTGCTCCTGGCCGCCGCCGCCCTGGCGGGGCCCACCGCCCGCACCCACCACGACTGTGAGTACCAACCACTTCTGACCCTAGCTCACTTCTGATCGGCTGGGACGCGGTTATCACATAAGGAGCATCAGTTTAAACAAAAAAACAGTCGTGACGTTAGGTTACGATTGAATAACCGCGCTCCAGCTCAAACGCCAATTTGCCCTGTTTTAATCGGAGTTTAGATCTGTGGCGCTTCTAGGGACAGAGTGACAGGAGCTCTGCCACTACCAAGCGAACATTTTTTTGAATTGTACTCAATTTATTCAAAAACAACTCCCATACGCAGATCTCATCAAATTCAAATCAGTACCCCCTTCACATATCTTTTTGTTTAGTATTTCAAGCTGAAAATTAAAAATAAAAATTATTTCAAAAGTATTTATGGAAGAAGGGGTTCCATAATGGAACCCCCCGAAATACTTGCAGAAACCGCTCCTGGCCTAGATACTGGGGAATAGACAGTTTCGGTCCCGATTTACGGTCTACTGAAAGTTCGGTTACGGAATGTGGAAAACGGCTGTGTGTTTTGGATCCCGGTGAAAAGGGAAATATACCAGTGGCCCCTTTACTCATCTGAATCTCCCCCTCCTTCCTGCCTGCCTTCCATGTTCAAATAAATAGTAAATATAACATTTTTGCTATTTATCATTGCTGCTAATCATAGGCTCAGCATTTCTTTACTTAACACTTCATTAAGTCATTAACATCCATTCATTAAAATTTCATTTAAAGTGTTTCACATTTAAAGTGGCATTTTATAAAATCAACATTTGTGTGTAAACACCATAGAGATATTCTTGTTTCGATGGCTCTTCGTGGCATCCACGGATTACAGGAGGGATTCGCGGAGAATAAATTCGTAATTAATGACAGTTATTCTGTTTCAAGATAAAATGTACAAGTATAAATCACATCAGTACAATTTCACCGCCTGTGATGATTCAGAGTGAACATCCGATGCCTCTGATCGAGGAAGTCGATCTGAGTCTCTGATCGAGGAAGTTTCGGGAGGGCCTGGTGTTCCTGACATATTAGCTGATTTTCGATACTAACCACATAGCTAGGTCGAATTAAGCCGCTGTCTGGAGGAGTATTCTAGCGCGCTAGTAGTTTTCCGTGCTTTCTCCGATCCAAACAAATGACGGAATAGCCGTTATGAAGCATTAAGATTTCTAACAAATCAATCGTTTGAAGGCGTGTACGACGAACCCAGTAAGGCAAAGACTCTCCTATGGATGTTGACCTTGACCCTTCTAGCAAACCCTTCCCAGGTAAGTGTAATAGTCGGTGAAGAGAAGAAATAAATTTTAAATGAGCAGAAAAGAAACACAAATGTTGGTAAGTGCTGCAGGAAAATTCTATAATCTGCCATACAATTAAAACGTGAATATGTACACTTACAACCTATTTTCTATCTTTTACAAACTATACATTAATAATGATAATAGTCGCTCAACCGCTTATATTATTTGGCAGGAGCAATATTAACTAAAGAGCAGGCTTTTCTCGCATAAACGCATTCCCAATTCTTCGATTCATTTTTGTACTGAAGGAACTATTTAACAAATCCACAACTCGAAGAATAATTGTATAGTTAAAACTGGAAAACCTCTGCAGTTCTTACTGACTAGGGACATTAAAATAAATAGGTGAAGCGTAAAAGAGAGATCGCGATAATGATTACACGTGCCAATTTAATAGAACTTAGTATTCTTCTAACATGACAACATTATTTGAACTAAAAGGTAGTTTGTAACCCATTCTCGTATGCAGAAATAAGATTCACAAGGAATTGTATACGAGTATATCGTAACACAGCCAAATCCTTCTCTGCTTGTTACCAAACAGGTTTAATAAAATTCCGGAATAGGGCCTAAGAGGGCATTATACCCGAGCGTTGCTTGCATGTAATATGCCTCGCATCAGTAAACAATAAATTCTCGTCAAGGAAAGCGAGTGGGTGTAGCATCCCCGTTTATGAATTAAAAATGTGCCCTAGATAATCTCCATCCATATGACCGTTTCACTCAAGTTTTTTTGTGCGAGTCGTGTGTCTGAACTTGAAAAATACTCGAAAGTTTATAAAATATGCTTTATTATTGGAATCCAATTATCCTCTGAACACACATATAGAAGTATGAAGAATTGCATTGCGATTTAGAGAAGGTCACTACTTCTGAGATTCTTAACGCACCCACATTCTTTGGAAGACGCCGGTTGCAATATGATGCCAAGATGAAGATTAGCGAATCCCCGCCGCCTAGAAGCGCCATAACATTTATGCATTAGTGCCGTGCCGTGTTTAGAAGGAACGTCATCTTGAAAGCCACGTTTTTGTGGGTCACTTTGCTGGCTGTCGCCTGTCTATGTGTTTGCTTGGTATTCTTCGTTCTGTGTTCAAGCGAAATAGTGTAGGTGTTCCGCCTGCGTTAGCACAATTCAAATAGGATTGTGGCGGCGAATGGGGTTTGAGCAGTATCAAGCCTATGTTTATAGTCTCTGCATTCCCGTAATATTTATCTATCCGTCGAATTATAATAAAATTCTAATAATTATCGCAAAAAATTTACACAAACTGTGTTGAGGATATGGCTGCTGTTGTAAAAATGATTTCATTATGCCAGAAGACTTTCACTTTGCATTTGTACTAAACATGTAGCGAAAAATATTCCATTTGAGAGAAGTATTCGAATGTGCAACGCAGAAAATAAGGCAGTGAGTACCAGAAAATGTTTATGAAACTTGCTAAAGGATAAAAACTAACTATCATTTCCATCTGCTAAATCGCTTCTTC